TTGTACAATTCAATACCATCATCCACTTCTGGAACAGAATCCATACCATCGTCCATGTACGTGGATTTACAAACAGTGTTTGCAGCTTTTGGGAAGAGATGCTCAAACCTCCTTGCATTTTCCCTAGAAATGTATTGTGCCAGAAAAGGAGAAGCATTCATGCCAAAGACTACTCTCTGGAATTCATATATCTGTGGTATTTCTGATTGTTTTAATGATCTCCACAAGAACCTAAAGTATGAACGGTCTTTGAATGGAATTCCTATTTGTAAATACATTTCAGCAATGTCACAAACCAAAGCTATTTTGTATTTGCGGAATCGAAGAAGTATCTCAAACAAATCACCCTGAAGTTTTGGTCCCTGGTGTATGATATCATTCAATGATATACCCTGACATTTCGCTGAAGCATCAAAAACAACCCTGACTTTGGTTGTACTTCTATCTGGCCGTACTACAGGAAAGTGTGGTAAGAGCCACTGACTGCAAGAGGTATCTTCATTTGCAGTTACAATCCGAATATAACCCTTTGCAAGGTAGTCTGAAATAGTCTGATCATATGCTTCAGCTACAGCTTTGTCTTTTGACAACTTCTTCTCTGTATTACAGAGACGTTTATAGGCCACGTTGTAATTGTCAGGAAGACACTTGAAATCTGCCTTCCAAGGTATACCTATCTGGTATTGTCCATTGTCATAAGTGACAGATTGTTGGACAAACTCAACAATCGATTCATCTTGCTTTGTCAAGACTGGTTCTGATGACTGAAACTCTTCTACTTCCCAAAACTTGTGAAGCATATAGTTTAGTTCAAGCTCTTTGTCATTTGAGAAGTAAGTGCTATAAGATCTCTGATGTCCCGAATCTCTAGGAATACATCCAACACATGTCCACCCAAGAGGAGTGAGTCTGGCTATTGGTTCTCCATCACCACCTGGAACATCCTCATAAGATCGATGTAATTCCAGGTAATCCATTCCAATGAGTAAATCTACAATGTGAGGGGCTTTCACCTTTGGGAACTGAATATGTTGCAAATGTGACCACTGCTTGCAATGTTTTTGCCAATTGACAACTTGCATTTGACCCGTGACGCGAGTAGTAGTTAACGCAGACATTGTCATATCCACTGACCCATCCATACTTTCAAGACCAAATCGAACAGCTGTGGTCTGAAATTTTTCACTTTGTCCATTTAGGACATTGACAGAGACATCTTGCCTTTTACCTACTAACCCCAACTGTGAAGCTACATCTTCATTAATGTAGGTTTGTGTACTTGCATCGTCCAACAATGCATTTACAACAATTCTGTTTGGTCCATTTTTAATAACAACAGGTACAGTCCGAAGTGAAAGGAGCGTGGACTTTTCAGATTTTGTGGACGACATCGTTGTGACCTTTGGAACTTCATGATCATGTTCTATACTTGTTACAGCTTGCTGTGGTGTTTGAGTATTGTCACTGTTACTATAAGCTACACTTCTTTTTGAATGGAGTAACTGATTATGTAATGCAGGACAGTTATCAATACCACACTTGGTGTTGCGTCTACAGGTTCTGCCATAGTGACTGAAACCAAAACAACGGAAGCAAAGGTTTAACTGCTTGACAGTTTCCCATCTCCTGGGAACTGTCATTGATTTAAACTTCTGACATGTCACAATGTCATGGTTGTCCATGTGACACAACTGACATCTGTGATCTCTTTCAGACTGTTTGTTACCAAAGAAAGACCCGGATTTGTTTGGACCTTTATGGTATATTGTCTTTCCTTTAACAGCTAACCCATTGATGGTTTCTGAAGCAATGATCTGGAATTCTGCTTCCATTAAAACCCATTCACGCAATGCTTCAACTGACTCCTGTCGTTGAGTTTCAAATATCCATCTTTGGTATTGACTGATCATGGATTCCGTCATTTTCTTCAGAATCTGTACATACAAAGATCCATTGCCTAACTCTTCTAACCTATCAGACTCCCTAAGGTTCACAACCACAACATCCAGCATATCAGCAAACCGTTCAAAGTCCTTTGCATTACCAGGTTGCACTGGCTTGAAGGATGAAATATCTTCCAATTGGAGAGCAATATGACGTCTCACTCCTCCAAATTTACGTTCCAGTCTCTCAAGAGCTACACCATAGGCTGCTGCGCTGTGACCTAAGTCTTGAATGACCTTCATTGCATCACCACTAACATACTGGCGCAACTGAAGCAACTTATATTCTGGTGTGGCAGGTGCTTTGTCTTTACAAGCAATAAATGCAGCCTTCCAGGCTTCATATGATTTGACATCTCCAGTAAAGACAGGGATGGACACACGCTTCAACTTTTTCCACATGTCTTTACCAATATCATAACTGTGTGAAAGTGTAGGTGTCCTACGATTGTAACAACTATCTGAATGCTGCCTCACCATCTGAACTGGTTCATGATGTGGTTCTACTTGATAACCTGATTGCCCACCGACTGATTTCGTATGACAAGAAGCGTTTTTTACAGGAACATCTTTCACATCTACCTTCTTTTCAGAATTAAACATTTGTGACAGACAATATTTGGAAATTGCATCAGACCTATTTCTGAGATAGTCCTGTGCATCGTCTTGAGCTTTAGTACCTACCTCTTCTAATAATTCACCTTCCTGTGTGACCTTGACCATATTGTTTTTATCACCAACAGCTTCAAACAGTTCTGACAGGTTCACAATAACTTCTAAAGCCTTTAGCTGGCAACTGTTTAATTTGTCTATAGCTTCCCGAACTTCCATTCGTGATGGAATATCTCCTTGATCAACTAGCTTCTCCAAAGCATTTTTTGATTTTGTGAAAGCTGATTTAACTATCATTTTTTGCCTCTTCAGAGAGTTCATTGTAGATTCATAATCTGTTTTGTTTGAAATACCATCAGACTCAGGCAGAGGTATGTCTGCAATTGTATCAAGTGTAAGCTCTGTTTTGTCCATTTTCCCTTTTATGAGAGAGATTACACTAGTATGGGACATGTTTGTAAGCTAACACGTGATCAAGTTTTCTGATACAAATTCAACATAATACCCAACGCTAATGTACACGGTTAAACATACAGTGTATAAATACTATGGTAACGGTTGTTGGATAAACACTATGAATTACCACCTGTGGTTTATCATACAACCAATTTCCAGTTGACTATGCTATATCGAAACTATGTACAATGAAACTAAACTGTCTGTTCAAATCACATCAACATGTGATTTATCAACTATTGGTATGGTAACCACGCTCTGCTACCATTTTGATACGCAGTGGAAGTCTAAAATATATAACTCAACAAAACTTAAAGTTAATGTCTGTTTAATTAGTAAAACACAAATTTACACCATATTTGAATTGACCCACGATTTCAGAAACAATTTCTAAAATAACTATTTACCACGATTTGTCCTTATTTGACAATGTTTTAGTCCTTATTTGACTATATTTCAGTCCTTATTTGACTATATTTCAGTCCTTATTTGACTATATTTCAGTCCTTATTTGACTATATTTCAGTCCTTATTTGACTACGAAAAAACCCTTATTTGGTTTTATTAAAGTCCTCATTTGACTTTAATTCCGACCATTGTGCCCTGATTTGACACTGTCAGAGGCAGCCACCGTCTACATGGCTGCTCTCTACCAAGCATGACTGTACAAGTGACAAGGCTAGGGACAGAGTTCCCCGCCGCACACATTTGCGCATGCAGCCCGTGCGCCACGTGCTGTCCAGAACACCACACTTTAACAAGTGGTGCGTTCGCGCGAATGTTTCTGAATGATTTGTCATCCTTCTGTTCACCCAGCTTAACAAACATAACATAGTCTTCTTTCACATGTCTCCCAGTTTCAACACATCGCTGATGCGAAAAACATCTAAACCGAACAAGCTCCACTCTCAATTTATTGCCGGTCACACAGCTAAGATACAACTCGGTACCAAACGCTACCTTGAATAGAGAATAAGAGAAAGGTTCACTACCCTTTTCCAGAAGACTATGCCAATCCTGTCCATAACTACATTTCAGACGCGACATAAATTCTGACAAAATGTGTTTTTATAACATATTACTTGAGTTGAAAATTCTTCTTGTATTATTATTTGAGTGCATCGCAAACACCGATTTCCACATGTTTACATCCAATTTCCATTTGTGTTATTAACAGAATGCACCTCAAACACCGACTTCCACAGTTTGACATCCAATGTCTTCTTGTTAAACAGAATGCACCTCAAACACCGACTTCCACAGTTTGAGATCCAATGTCTTCTTGTTTCACAGAGTGTACCTCAAACACCGACTTCCACAGTTGGACATCCAATGTCTTCTTGTTTTACAGAGTGCACCTCAAACACCGACTTCCACAGTTTTACATCCAATGTTTTCTTGTTTTACAGAGTGCACCTCAAACACCGACTTCCACAGTTTTACATCCAATGTCTTCTTGTTTCACAGAGTGCACCTCAAACACCGACTTCCACAGTTTTACATCCAATGTCTTCTTGTTTCACAGAGTGTACCTCAAACACCGACTTCCACAGTTGGACATCCAATGTCTTCTTGTTTAACAGAGTGCACCTCAAACACCGACTTCCACAGTTTTACATCCAATGTCTTCTTGTTTAACAGAGTGTACCTCAAACACCGACTTCCACAGTTTGACATCCAATGTCTTCTTGTTTCACAGAGTGTACCTCAAACACCGACTTCCACAGTTTGACATCCAATGTCTTCTTGTTTAACAGAGTGCACCTCAAACACCGACTTCCACAGTTTTACATCCAATGTCTTCTTGTTTCACAGAGTGTACCTCAAACACCGACTTCCACAGTTTGACATCCAATGTCTTCTTGTTTTACAGAGTGCACCTCAAACACCGACTTCCACAGTTTTACATCCAATGTCTTCTTGTTTCACAGAGTGTACATCAAACACCGACTTCCACAGTTTGACATCCAATGTCTTCTTGTTTAACAGAGTGCTCCTCGAGTCCTGACTGCTTGAACGGGGGTACCTGTGTACGAGGTGCCTGTACGTGCCCAGGGGGATACACCGGCGGGAAGTGTGGTAAGGAGAATTTCGCTGACTTTATAAATGTCTATTTCATATAAAAAGACATGGGAACTGAAGAATGTCCCTATGTTGGTTGCCTTCTACTCTGACATTAATTAACATAACGGTAGAATTACATCTATAAAAGTATTATTAATGCTAACAACGAATGACAATGTATTCTCCGATGTATGTGTACTTAGCTTGTCTAGTGACCTCTCCTCACATGGCCTTCAACTATAAACGCCCTTTCGGTCTTGTCCACTGGTATAGTTTGAAACCTATTTTGACAAATATGTGAAATCAGTGTGACAGGTCGATTATTTTACAGATCAAAACGCATACGTTGTTAGTGACTGGCTGAGTGATTGAGATATTTCAAACTGTACGTCACAGCAGCAATAATACAACGCACTTTCGGTCTTTTCCACTGGTATAGTTTGAAACCATCTCTTGGCAAATATGTGAAGCCAGCGTGACAGGTCAATTATCTTACAAATTTAAACGCGTATGTTGTTAGTGACTGGCTGATTGTACGTAACAGCAGCAATAATACGACGACCTACCAAATAGAATTATCCAATGTACACGGCTTAAAACGGAGATTGAGGGAATAACTCCACCCGTCAATATTCACTGGGTCTTGTTCGCGCTCTGTTTGCAGTGTATAAAGCCTTCATTTTCAAACATACTTTGTAATTTGGGAATGAATATTGATGAAATTTCACGTACACAATGTATGTATCAGAGAGCACCCAACCGGCCCATTCTACTCACAACGAAGCATTCAAATGCAGTCTAGTGTATGACATTGCGTCTCTATGTCATCAGTATTTCGATAGGTCATGCATGAGCTGGCGCATCAGGTGAGAAGAACCCCTGCTGTGGCGACTAAGTCAATTCAACGACGATGGTGGCTTTCAAGTTATTTAACACCGGGGTAGAATAGGCATTCAGCAACCCATGCTTGCCGTAAATGCGGCTATGCTTATCGTAAGAGGCGACAAAGTGGTCAGGCTCGCAGGACGTGATAACAAAGGAGTATATGGTCATGCCTGGGTTTCTGCGTTTCTGTTATTGATGTGAACATACCCGTGAAGACCCAGATGGAATAGGTCTTCAGCAACCCTTCTTGCCGTAAAAGGCGACTATACTTGTCGTAAGAGGCGACTAACGGGATTGGGTGGTCAGGGTCGCTGACTTGGTTGATGCATGTCATCGTATCCCAATTGCGTGGAACGGTGCTCATGATGTCAATCACTGGAATGTATGGTCCACACTCCATTATTTACAGACGTCGCCATATAGCTGGAATATTGCTGAATATGGCGTAAAGCAACAAACAAACAAAGAAACTGTAACGAGATCGCTGGTTTGTTGACGACATATCCACTGTCGCCAGACGAAAGACTTCTACTATTCACAATCTATAGAGCTTCACACAACCCTTCAAATGAAGCTTTAGCAATTTGATATCCTGCTTCGTACACATATAACTGACAAACTGTACTAATACATAATGACTGCACATATTAGAAGATAACCAGTACGAGAAAATACATGGTAGAAGTATACACCAATGAGAAGATACTCCATTTGTCATTACAACAGGTACTGTAGCTCCACCAGGGGCCGTGTCTGGTGACGTGTGTTCATCTGTGCATCCTTGTGCCAACGGGGGCACCTGCAGCCCATCATCCTCTGGGGGAGAGGGGGCGTGCTCCTGTCCCACCGGGTATGAAGGAAAGAGATGCCAAGCAGGTAGTCAGATAGAACCTTTATGTAAATAGGTGTCAAGCATGTAGTCAGATAGAACCTTTACGTAAATAGGTGTCAAGCATGTAGTCAGATAGAACATTTTGGTGAAAAATATAAAGCATGTAGTAAGATATAACCTTTATTTAAATAGGTGCCAAGCAGGTAGTCAGACAGAACCTTTTTTAAATAGGTTCTAGTTGTGTGGACCACTTCACGGTGTTTTGACGTCCGAGGAAAATCTAATTTCGCCATATGTACATGAAGCCTTTTTTCGTATCGAATGAGTAAACTAATCATAATCACAGAAGTCTATCTTACGTCATTGTTTACTTCCGATACATAGCATGTCCGATTTTGTTCGATGACTGTGTGTGTAAAGACGTCAAATGAAATCTTTCATTGCACCATACATTTTTTGGTGCGTGATTAAAAGTGGCTAAATTGGCAAGTTGCTTTATGCAAAACAGAATCGTGGACAACATTTAGCACTATTTCTCTTTCAAACCATTGTTATTTTTCCAATCATTTTCACACAATGACTTAGAATATTCAATGCCCAACATATGCATTATATTACAAAGTCGGAGGTCGGCACGGTGTCATACGACCGTAATTCTAGCACCAAGTTCAGGACTTATTATAATGTGTGCTACAGTCAGAGATCTCGCGATACCCGAGTTGTATATAACTCGTTGTCGCGTGAACGCCAAATTGAATACAACTTCAGATCGTACAACTATTTGTATGCACCAAGTTGTACCAACTAGTTGTGCCGTGTAATTGTCCCTTTAGAGTCTGGCGTGTTGAAAAAGGACACTCAGTGAGTGAGTGAGTTAAGATTAATAGTCACATCGGCAATATTTCAGCCATATCGTGACTGAATCAAGTTGTACAGTAATGATACATAAACATAGACATAAATATATAAAAACTGTCGTCAATGGACAGTAAAACAACTAGAGTATCACAGCTTTAAATATAAAACTAGTAAGTAACTATAAAATTTTGACTAATCAGTACAATACATTATAAAAGTTGGCTAGAGATCATCAGCAACCAAAGTTAAGTCACCATACAAGGGACCACCGGGACTTACGGTACATCTGCTTCATGCGTGGTACCCCAGCAGGATTTACTACATCCCTCTGGCTACTGGTGATTGTTTGAAAGTTTAAGCCAAAGCATTGAAAAACAAACAAGTATTCTGCGATTAAAACCATGGAAAATGAAAAATACTTTGAATGAAATAAGACTTATGTATCCTCTCATGGGGACAATTATTTTACGTTACTTCAACCCCCTTTGAAGGTACAGCCATTAACAATCACAGTTATTAATTCATTCTTCCAAATTAAAAAATATACTTTTTACAACAATACATATCAAAATTTATCAATCAAGTCCATATCTTTTAAAAGTCCAACGAGAACTTACATTAAAAAGATCCTGTAGAGATGAAACCTAGAAATGGTTATCCCTTGTGCAGGACACTCAGACAAAGTCAATCTAATGACTAGAAGGTCAGAGATCCGGTACATCATCTGTCCAGCATCGGCTGCAGCCAGTATCCGGTATATTGTTTTTCGGTGGACACTCCTCTGGTTGTATATGTAGGATATGTGAAGTGACTGTCATCTGTTCTAGCATGCAGCACACACGAGGACTGTCAGAACGAGGGCACGTGTGAAGCCCGAGGCTGCAGGTGCCCGGCGGGATACACAGGTGGAAAGTGTGGTAAGCTGGTTTATTATTTAGATATGTTCACCATTCAGCAGTTGCAAGTGGGTTACAGGTAATGAATTGAGTTCCAGTATTTATTTTATAAATTAGTAAAATCTATTCATAATTAAATTTCCGCTGTGTTCATTGATATTCCAGCATTCTGATTAGGTGAATTGGTCACGTGTTATTGCATTAATTTCCCAAGGAATATAGAAAAATTAAGCTACGCGGATTCATACAGTTTGAACATCGGTTGTTGGATTCATACCTCAGTGAAACAAAATACACAGACAATCCTTCAGTACACGCCAGCAAATCGGTTGATACATTTACTGAGATATGTATTTTTTTCGTATTCCAGAGACTACTTTGTCTGGAGCAGGTCACGTGATCATCTTTCCAGCGGCTGTGCTGATGTCTGTTGTTGTGCAGCTTATCCTGAGCACGTAGAGACCTACCATTCAGCCTAACTTAAAACTCTTTGCTATTAATGTTCTCTCGTTTGCCCTGAAGGGTCACACGGGCTTCTATACAAGTAGGTGTGAGTTGTCTGTTGTCATTGCCCTCGTTAGTCGTTAAAAGGTTTTCCATGTATGACCTCTGCCCAGAGATGTCAAGGTTTCATCTCATTTCGAAGTGTCGTTTTTGAGTTAATGTTTTCTGGTAAGAATTCTGATAGTATTTGATGTCATTAATTTTCAGTGGGCTTCCAGTGTGTCGTTTGTGTTAAACCACTCATGACCCAGTGTACTTGTCATCTTTGAAACGAAACACCGAACATGCAAGTTGTCTCTTTACAGTTGTATGGCGCCCTTGTTCAGAAACGTATCGTCTGTCATGTTTTCATGCGTGTTATCACGCCTTGCAGGAATTCATAACTTAGAATTTTGATGGGCTTCAATCTGCCTCCCCTTCCACGGAAGGGTAGCAAGGGCCAGGTGAGCTACATTGCCAACAGCTTGTATGTTTTATTATCAATTGACTCTTTCATCTTCACAAAGCTTAAGAGGTCGTTTCTTTCACAATACTCTCTTCTTTGACCTTTTCTGACACTGCGTGCTTTTCATTTGTTAATGAAGCACTTCAACAATGTTATGCATGTACTCAATTCCCCTCACGAATAAAACAAATTATCACGAATTTAAAATTGTGTTGCATTGCATTATTTTGTGGAGTGACGGGTGAAATAGAGGAAATATGATCGTCGAATAACCTTGGATGTGTCATTTTCTTATGATTCTCGATATCACGTAAAAGCTATGGATTGTTTACCTTTTTTTATTTGTTTTGCCGAATGAAACTCACGCCTTCCTCGAAGGATTCCACACCAGAATACTAACTAACCGTTACTACAGTTTATTCTAGTTGTAAAATGTATCAGCACTTTTGAAGTAACAATATTTTGCAGACTACTGTTCGAATCTCGAAATCCATCTACTTACATCATCTGTGAATATACTAAGACGTCTTCAGTTCAGCATCAGTGTTATAGCATTGGTTGTGAAAATGTTGTTAACAAAAATGATTTGTATGTTATCGGTGCTGTAATAAAGGATGGTGGTAGATACTATGGACAGTTAAGTACACATTCCTAACTTCCTAACGTTCAGTACACATTCCTAACTTTAGCTTACCTGACACAGACTTGAGTAATGTTCATGTGATCCACAAATACTGTGAAATAAAGTTATCTGAGAAAATACAACATTTTTCGCCTTTCGATAAATGCAGGTTGCTCTTACAAATTCTAATATTTAAGGAAAACATATACTTCTACCTTTTCTCATCTATCGAACTACCCATACTATTAGTTGGTAGCAGGAGTCCAGGACCACTTTGGGTTCTGCTCATGCGCGAGGGTCACCTCCGGTTCCGGTGGTGTGCGCATCCGTGATGACATCACGTCCGGTTCCGGTGGTGCGTGCGAATCCAAGATGGCGGCACATCCGTTTCAGGGTGCAGGGTGTGTGCCGATGGCGTGTGGAGATGATTGATCACCGAGAGGAGCTTTTAATACACAGTCGACGACCCAGCAACTTTGTTGCTAGGTTGACGTCACATCGGTTAAGGATCTTGCAACAAAATTCCACAAATGACATAATCGGGTATTATGACGTGATTGTAAACTTTGAGGTGCAAGGTTTCGTTCCACAAGGCGATCGTATTGTAGCGCAATGACAGCCGTTCGTCTAAGTTACAGTAGGTGAGTGGCGAACACCTTAGCGCTATGATCATGGTGTGGAACGAACGCCTGAATTCTAAAGGTGACTCGACATTTGTGTAATGTAGGTTCATTTATTTAACGGCCGAAATCAGAAATATTTGAGAAACCTCTCCAAGCACGCACGCACGCACGCACGCACAAACGCATACATCAAGTGTGTCAGTCGGCATGTATCAATCTTTATAAACAGAGAGATTGTGATAACTGGGCACGTCTGAAAACAAGTTGTGAACCGTTATACAGTAATTCGGGGTAACGATTTTTTGTGCCATAGAATCAATGTACATGTACATGTATAGGCGGTAAATATATGTTACGATAAGGTGTCATTCTATAATCAGTACGATGTTCTAGTCTAAGTACATACACTTAAAAGTAGACACATGTTAAAAATTAAAATGACAAAGAGATAAATAAACGCAGGTCGTGTTAGTGTTGTTTCCTTGGGTAATTATAAGTTGCCAGTTCTTCATAAGATGAAATAAATGATGGTACAGAAACGGACTAGCAATTAACACTATAACTGTTGCTCAATACAATCCACAAAGAACAATCTATATGTCATTTTTTAATATTTATTCCTTATTTTATATCAATAATTCATTTATGGATACCAAAGAATATCACGAATTTGATTTTATCACATCATGAAATGTTTATTGATATCACAAAATAGATTTTTACAAATCAAAATAGATTTTGGTGTAAAACAATTGTGATGATTACATGCTAGGTAATATTGTCAATGGGTTACGGGATATCGGTAGATGTATATGTATTTGCACATCTCCTGCTCTACTGGGTGAATGTTTGTTACTGAACGTTTACTAAGAGTAGTATAGGTAATGGGGGTTCTGGACCACTTCCACTGGAGCCAGATTTATTACCTATACTGCTACTACAGGGGGGGATTTTTTATGCCAAAATGATTATGCGATTTAACGATAGTCATGAGATTAAGTTAAATTGGCTCTAGCTCACCAATACCTGGGGCCAATCAATGCTTTAGATGAGCCTAAATGGTAATAAAAATATTCTTCATTATTTTTATCGATAAAGCGATATTCAACATTTTTATTAAGTTCTTCGTTCATTTTACTAGGAGACCAGACTATATAACTACACTCTTTTTGTAAATTGATAAGAAACAATTGATAACCGTATTTGGTTGGTTTGACATCACTGATATAATAAAAACCTTGTGGTAATTCTCTCCATTTAATAGTTTTTTCGATCTCCATTATTATATATATTTATGTAAGCATTTGTCTAAATGTGATCAAACGATTATCAATCTATTTTTAATCTCCAACCAGTTCTTTGGTTTTGGCACGGAATAATTGACGCCCTTGTTGCCTCCCCTGTTCTATGAACTTTTTTTCTCGTCTTCGCTCAAGAAGGCGTCTTCTTCTTGTTCGGCACCCCCGATTTCGGCACCCCTACAATATTTTTTTCCACTAGAGCAATAGGATGTGTCCAAAGCATACAACTGTGCCCAACAAATTTCCAATTGAACATTTGTGTCCAACTACAGTATAGAACAAAAATGGAAGAAGCGAAATATACAACTATGGAGAGCATGGGAATACGCGCAGAAATGTCTATATTCCAACATATACTAGTGGAGAATGCATACGAAGACAACTTGCTACCAGATATATCCAAGGTAGACTATTTGGAAGGAAATCTGGGTAGAACACATCTAGAACCTTTGGATGGCCTGCCAACATTTGTAGACGATATGTATGTATTTGGCTATCTAGAAGAAAACGATATAGTATCTCTACGGGGATCTGTGTCTTGTACAACTGGAGAAAGTGGATCTGCAAAACGTATACTACAAGAAATACAAATAGCAACGCAGAAAGTATACGGATGTCGCGTGCATGCTACTATTGCAAATACAATTTCCTATATAGGAGGCTCTGGGAGCAAAATACGAGACACAATACAACGAATACAAAAACAAACAGAATACAAAGCAAAGAAAAAATGGATGGAAAGATTTTCCAACGAAGAACCCAAAGGTATATTTGTATGCAAAATAGATGTCTCCGAGTTGTCCCTAGAGGAAACACAAAAAGGGTTGGATGCACTACACACGCAACTATATTCCTTTGGATACGAGATATATTCCACAGACTATACTAGAGACTTTTCTGGTGTACTAGATAGGAAAAAACTAGTGGAATACCTACAAAGGGAGGGATACTTTCTACAAGGTATACAATACGATTGTGGAGAAAGAGAAGGAACAATTCTAGACAATACAGCGTCTGTAGGAGAACATGTATGTACTTGGGTATACAGTAGGAACAATAGAACATTTTCCGCGAAGATATACAACAAAGTTGTTTCCAATTTCGAAGCGGGGGACGTTCGGAATCCAATAGGAGCACATCTTTGCGAATATGTAGATTGTCCAAATAGACACCTACGAAAAACATTTTTGCATCCAGACGTACAGAAAAGAGGTTGTTCTCGAATAGAAGTATCTGTGTATGCACCAGACGAAGACATAGGACCTTGGGTTGTAGACGAAATTCTAGAGTTGGTATCCCCCAAAGAAGAACCACTATTTCTCGAACAACCACCAGAAAACCAATGGAGAAACTTGGCAAAGAAATTGGATAGATGTTGTATAGTCGCCTCTAGACCTCTTGGGAAGATATTTGTAGCATGGTATGCACACACAAAAACTAGGAGAATAGCAGGGATACATATACATCCGAAAAAAGAGACAGTAGAAGATACGAAGAAATGGGAAAGAGCAGTAGAATTTGCAATTGGAGACTTTGGGTTTCGCGCTTGTCCAATATTTCGCATAGACATCCTATATTCCACAAACGAAGGTGTAGAGTTTGGACCACTTCGATGCTATACAAAAGCAAAAGATTCCAAAACTATTCTTGCGCCATCCAAACAACCAACAAAAATATCAAGGCAGATACAAACCCTTCCATGCTTCTCCCAAGCACAGAACACATAGAATGGATATTCCGGAAAAACAAATCCCAGAGAATAGGAAAAGAAGTTTCCCAATTCCAAGCAATAGAAATGGAAACCAAAAGACAAATATCCACTCTTTCCAGATCCACTAGAGAACAAAGATTGCAAGACATAGAAGACTGGTTGGATAGCAATCTATGGAAAGAAAATATTGCAAAAATACACGAACAAAGAATACAAAAAGAAAAGGAGGAAAGGAAAAAGAGAGAACAAGAAATAGAAGAAATACAAAAAACATACAAGAATATAGAAGAATATAGAACTGCATCTACAGATACCAAAAATATTGTAGAACAAAATTTGGGAAGCTGGTGTAGAAAGGTGTCCGAATTTTCGGGAAAAACTATTTCTATACTCGGATGGAAAGGAGAACGTGTTGTAGCTAGATGTATCGAAAATATCGAAAATGTAGATGTATATTGTTTTCCCGCTATTTGGCAAACAAAAAGACTGCGAAAGATACTAGAATTGCTAGAAACAGCTGCACAACACACAAAACCGGATAGATATGGAAAGTCTATGTATTGGATCCC